CCTCAGTGAAGAAACATATCTGCATATTGCCGGCCTTCTCCTTTTATACCCACACGGTGGGGCGGAGTTATGCCATGCAAATTCTGCAGACCCATGGCATTTCCTTGCCATTAGCTCGTTTTATTTCTTTCGAAGATGAGAGGCTTCTAAGCGAACCCCATTCATCATCACAATGTAACGTCTCTGTTCACTACTCAGGGAACGAGGGTTACATCCGTAACCGAGACGTTTCTGCTACTTTTATGCCTGAACTTGATTATGGTGATGTGGTGTATCAATTTGCTCCTTCTCATCTTCTGTCCTCTTTGGATGCGGTTTATCATAGCGCGTTGAGATTTATATCAGATTGTAAACCTTTAACTCATCGTTGTATATTGTATAACCGAGTAGCCTGGCCCTCTCTGTCCATTAGAAGGAAAATGCACTATTACCTATTTATTTATAAAACTATTCTGGGGTTGTTGCCTTCGTATCTAGGTTGTCTAATTCAAAAGAAAAGTGTTGGGAAATAACCCCTTCACTCTGAAAATGGTTTTACTCTTTCTGTTCCATTTGTTAGAACTGAACTGGGAAAGGGGCTTTTATGTATGCAGCTCATTTGAATGGAATCTACTCCAAACAAAACTGAAATTACAAACTCTGGTGCCTGCCTATGGAACATTTTAAATCTATTATTCGGTCACTTGAAGAAGACTCAATGATGTGCAATTTTTTAAAAGTGTTTTAATTTTATACTTGTTTTGATTTGTAAGTTTGTGATTGTAACTGCTGTCCATTCTTGGCCAGGACACTCCCGTGAAAGAGATTTTTAATCTCAGAGAGATTATCCTGGTTAAATAAAGGTCAAATTATTTTTTTTGAAAAAGTAACTTCATTTGGCGTGACCGTCACAGTGCATTATGGGTATTCTCTAGTCTAGCCGTTGAGCGTATATCGGCATAGATATAGGGCAAATTCCAAATAGCGGTTTTTTTTACCCTTGAAGGGCACTTCGGAAAGGGGACGCCATTTGAGCATTCCAAATGAAAATCAACAACTGAATGCCTTCATGAAGGGCCCTTCCAACAGGTCTGTTAGTGAAGGTAACGTCACTTCAAGGAAGTAATTTAATCATTTATGTTATGTTCTGGCATAGGGATGCTCACTTACGATTGGAATTTGCCCATCGTACACTCGTTATTGCGGTGCATTGTGGGATTAAATGAGTGCACTTGAAAATGTCCTCAATGGCTGGATCCCAAATGGCACACTTCATGTGGACTCGCGGTCCCATGGCCTTAAATTGCGCTTGCACGCCAAGTGTACGAGTCCGTAGGGTGTCCCATTCGGCATTTTAGCGCTCAGAAGTATGCTTGCGAGCGCCGCCTTTGTGCCCTCGATGCGGACTTCGGCGAAGCCCGCACTTTCGCACCCTCCACACGAGTAACCTACCCAGGAATCATTGCGAACACCCAATCAGATAAATGAGGGGAGGAGTTTCGTGGCTGTTTGACTTTCGGTGGCATGATGTCATCAAGCCTGTCCCAAAATACACTCTTGCGTGCCCTCATGGACTCGACGACCCCTTAGGTCTGCACTCCCTGACATCACCAAGTGTGAACTCGAAGGAGGTCCACAAAGCGGAAGTGTGTCATTTGGGATCCAGCCTATGGTTTCGGACACCACTACAAATGGCTGTCCCTTCAAATAGTGCCCTATTTAAGGGTATAGGGGGTGATTTCAGACCACCATTGTGTTGGACACTAAACAGCAAAGTTTCATTTATCGTAGTGTGTTGCCTCCACTGAAATGTTTCATTCACTGTAAATTCAGCACTCAAGCCAGTTGTGTTTGACAGCATGTGATTTTAACCATTAAGAGGTGAATGCGGCAGGACTAAACATTTTGTGTGGTATAATTATGTCGCTCAATATATTATTTCAATATATTAACATCAATGCTCTCAATTGGGTTTGACAAGGTGTGCACTAGAAAGAGCAACTGGATTAGGGATTTTTGACAGATGAATTAGCATTTTGCAGTTGAATTACTGAGGTGTGATTATAAAGACAAAGGCTGATTTGTTAGATGGGCCTCAAATACTGAAAACTGTTGTTCAGGCTCAGATATGTCCAAACAGTTATTATCTATCACAGCCAAAGTAAGTCAGCATTTTTCCAGAGAAAAATGAGTTTATTCGCAAGTGGAAAATAACTTAAATGAGGGCCGTGGTTGTGGGTTGCTGAAATAGCTTGCGTTTGATTCTAAGAATCATTAAGACATTCCCACATCTTCCTTTTATGGGCGATCATATTTGCTCATTTAAGATTATGGGCATGGATTTTAGCCTGATATGCTGGGAGACGAATCAAATATGTCAACGTTTCAAATACATACAACCAATATGATGTTTACACTCTTTACGAAACTATGCCACCTTTTATTTTTGTTGCATTTATTTGTTTTTAAACCTTCAGATGTGAATAAATTAGCCTAAATCTGATGGAGAATGTCTGTGAACTGCATTCATGCAGTTTATCTCATGCAGGTTTTTATTTGGATTCAAATCTGGGTCATTCCAGCCTTGTTTATTCAAAAAAAAAAAAAAAAAAATCATAGTTGATGCTTTGTGTCATAGTTCTGCTGGGAATTCAATCATTGTCCTGCATGCACATCTGTGGTTTAATGAAATATGTTCTCCTCAATGATTTGACTGTTTTGGTCTGATTCTGTACCCTTCATGGCAAAAAAACGTTACATCTTTCAGCTACAAAACCAAGACCATGAGAAAGGTGTTCCCTGGATGTTCAGATGTATTTTGTTGCCTTCTCTGGATTATAGTGAGTTGTGGGTGTCACTGTAGGCTTTTCCTCTTTCTGTCTGGTGCACTTTCACAGAGGTGAATCTGAAAAATATTGAAGAGATTGCTGCAAAGTTTATGCTATTTCAACAAAATAGTGCATCTGTGTCAGCACTGTAGCTGGTGTTTTGCACTTCTCTGACAATTGCTTTTCTTGTCTGGTTGCCCAGTTGGTTGGGACAGGGTGTTCTCAATTTACTCTATTACTCCAAAATGAATTTAATGGTTGAAATAAAGGTATAATATTTATGTTTAATTGTTATAATGGACACAGTGATCCAAGGAGTATTTATATCTTTTTATAACTTATTGGGGTAAACATATATTTGTTAGGGGAAGTTTTATTTTTTATTATATAATTCCGAAGACATATATATATTTACTTCAACATCCATGGACAAAGTGCACTGTACTGGTCATAAAAAATAATAAAAAATAAAAAATGTATTCAGCAAGGATGCATTAAATTGATCAGAAGTGACAAAGACAATTAGTGTTACAAAATATTTCAAATAATTGCTGTTCTTTTAAACTTTCTATTTATAACACAATAAAAAAGTACCATGATTTCCACAAAAATATTAAACAGCACACGTTAAACAGTACAACATTGATAACAATAATTAATGTTTCTTGAGCACCAAAGCAGCATTTTAGAATGATTTCTGAAGGATCATGTGACACTGAAGACTGGAGTAATGATGCTGAAAATTCAGCATATATACTATTATTATTTTTTTTAATTTTCAAATATCTTTCACATTTTAATATAAGAAACAGATTTAAATTGTAATCATATTTCACAATATTACAATATTCATGCTCAAACAGCCAAGTAAGCATAAGAGACTTTTCCCAAAAACATTTTTAAAAAATCTTACCAGTGTGTTTTGATCTGACATGCAATAGACAAAAACTCATGACAGTATTGAACTTTGGTGAATCAAGGAAATGTACACAGGTATCCACATTAAAAAGTTTAATATCAAGACATTCAGCATACAAAACAGCCCAAAGTTTAAACCAACAACATATTGTCAATGCAGATCAAAAGTATATAAACGTTTTTTTTTTTTCCTCATCCTCACACGGCGCAAATTAAATCATGTCAGTATAAATACAGTATATCGGTATAGTCTGTTAATAAATACATTCAAAACATTGATAACTTAAAATCAAATAAATCCTCTGTTAATAAGTTAAAAAACAAAACATATTTTTTCATCGTTTCATTTTGGTCATAAATGCATACTAAAGATCGCTTCAAGGCATAAAAGAGCCAACCCCTAAAAATGCTACACCTGAAAGCTATCACAATAGTGGTTGTTTATTCATTTTGCTGTTGTTTTTACTGAAAATGCAACCTTCAATACAACATGACATAAAATGTTGCACTAAGACGTTTACAGTGGGCATATTAGCCTTCATATTGGACTGGAAAATCTGTATCATTACACAGTGAAATGGTAAATAGGATTGTGAAATAACTGCTACTGAATGACAACATGCCTTTGTAAATCAAAACAAATGGAAGAGGATGCTAAATTGTTGTTATCTCCATGGGGAAACAAATCAGGAAGCTTAAAATAATTTGTCTAGTATGTCACACAGTGTCATACAGAATTTTGTCAACAATAATTAAGCAAAGATTTTTTTTTCTGTCGCTTCTCATGATTGCCCTGGTGATAAACAGTGAAACATAAGTACAGAAAGTACAGATTTTGAACTAATAAAAAAATACTAAATCACGAAATGAAAATGAAACCGCATTAATTGAAACCAGTGTGCCAAGCAAAGTACCATAGTATGCCATAAAAATGACATTTGAAAATCTATCAACTACTTAAAGCTGCCAAGTCATTTTGTGCCACTTCAATTCAAATGTCAAAGCTGTGTAAATAAAACAATCTATAATAAAATAATTAGATGAAAGACAGTACTATGCAGGGATGACCCTTGTTTAAAATAAATATACCAATTATGCCAACTGATATCCATCTTGAGGTGACTATATGTGAAATTCAACTGAAATGGAGAAATATACAGTTAAACCATTAAAACATGGTAAATGTCAGTAATTTTCTTCCTATAAAACCACCTAGACTTGTAATACCAGTGTACAATTTTGCCAGATTTTTTTTTACATCTATCTATCTATCCATCTGGGTAGTTTTGGTTGCCTCCCAACAATCTGCAATAGTAACACCACAAACAACTAGTATTAACACATCAAGTAATACTGCTGTTAATCTTTTTGAACAGTCTGAAAAATGTGTGAATGCTGCATAAAGACACAAGGCTAACATCATAAATCTTAAAGTCCAGTCATCACGTTTTGTGCTACTCCGTCCATAAATCAAAGAAAACAGAAACATGTTTCTTTGGTAGTGGCACTTTGAAATACTTAAATTGATCTGAAAAGATGCTAAAAGAAAATAGCAAAAGAATTCATATGAATCAAGCTATGATAAAGAGCTTTTTGAACGTTTGCCTTTTCCCAGTCAGCTAAAGACAAGACAATGTGCTTTAAACGGAGATCTGTGCGAGTGAAACAAAGTAGTTCGCTACCGTCAGAGTCTACTTCCTTTGGCCATGTGCGTTTCTATCTGAGGTACTCTTCTTCTGAGAAACTCTCCAGGCTCTCATCGTCGCTGTCCTCCAGTTCTGGAAGATCACCCCACAGCAGAAGGTTCTGCCCTGTGAAAGAGACAGACTTGTATTATTTAGAGTTGGAGCATTTATTAACATTATGTCTAAAATATGTTCTTTACACTACCATTCATATGCCTGGGGTCTGTAAGACTTTGGGCCAAATTTACTAACAGCTTGTGCCAGCGCAAACCCTCTTTTAACGTTAAGTGAAAATTTTGCACTGAAAAGGCTTGGATAGGGTTTGCGGCTGACCTTATTATTGCGTATGCATTTGTAGGAGTTTCCCTTTCAGACGCAAAATGTATGGGAGGAGAGTATTTCAATGAATCATGCAAGGTGATTTACTAAGGTTTGCGTAGTCAATTTACAGGTATTTGCACCATTATTTACTGCCCCAAAAAAGCACGTCTTAAACCAGACGCTAATCTGCACTGCCCTTGGTAGATTGCGTTGGTCATTATGGAAATGATCCGGCTGCGTCTGTGTTCTTTCATTTGCGCGTCGTCAGTAGATCACGCGCAGAACTTTTCACTCCCATCAGCGCTTTTTTGGAATTGCACTCTCATGCTAATTTGCCCTATTTAGTCAATCTGGTAAGCATAAGCGACTTCTTTTAAAAACATAAAGGGCCAAAGCTTAATTTATGTGATCAAGACTAAATAATAAAATTGTGAAATATTATTACTATTTAAAATAACGGTTGATATATTTTAAATATGCAATTAGTTCTTGCGATAAAATGCTGAATATTCACCGTTGTCATTGTCACATGATCATTCAGAAAGTATTTTAATACAATGATTTCTTATTATCAATTTTGAAAGCAGTTGGCTGCTAAAGATGTTTGTGGAAACGTTTAAAATAACTGCAATTATTCGAAACAGAAATGTTTTGTAACATTATAAATGTATTTACTGTAACTTTTGATTGTTTATTAAAAGTTCAGTTGAAAGATCAGTTGGCAGCATCTTTTGTTGTAAAAAACAGGTGTTTTTTTTTAGCAGGTTTTCAATCAGTTATGATAACATTATAGTACAAGGCACACCTTCTGAAGCAAAAGTCAAAAGACTAGCCTGGCACACTGTTTAAGACTTCCTCAAAGGGTGCAATGAAGGTGAAAGGCTCAGCCTCAATTACTAAAATTCATTTTTGTGCCATTCTAGATTTATAACTTTTAAAATGCCCTTTTGTTGCAGACCAAAAAAAAAAGCTTTCAACATTTTGTATCAGAAGATATGCCTTGAACTAATTTTTAGGATTTATTTGCAACCATTTATACAGTTTTCATCGGGTAATAGTTCAACCCACAACCTGTTTAACATGCTTCACCTGCATATAAAAATCTTAGCTAGTGTGAGTCAATCCATGTATAATCACTGTCTATTATTGAGTGTTAAACAGCCGAATGACAAGCAACCAGGCAAGTGAGAAGCAAGAACATAGACGCAATGTTCTTCAAGCGTACTTTTCAATGTTTGAAGTTTTTTTCAAAGTCTGTTACAAACCTTTTTGCATTTACATAGGATCTTTGATGGATATGAGTAGATAATCAATGGTAAACAATGGTATGCAAAATCTGCCTGACCATCAGCAGAGGGCAAATACAGTGTTTTTGCACCAGATGTCTCAAACCTGTTGCATCCAGTCTATTGATGGTGGACACAGCCTCACTGTTGAACATCCAGAAGTGACCATTGTTGCAGGAGAGCAAACAGGGCTTGCATGGGGCCACCACGTGATATCCCACAACATTCCCACTGAATGTGCAGAAAGAGCCAGAGAGACAGACAAAAACACCAGATTCAAATGCTTTGTGAGACACAATGAAACAGAACAGCAAATGGCTCAGTGTAAACAAAGGACTGAATATTAAAGCTAAAAGGGCAAAACAACATGTTTGAAGCCAACTGGCGAATCTAAATATGATGCTGTGTAAATATTAGGCAAATACACTCCTGTTCAAAAGTTTAGGCTTGGTAATATTTTTATTATGCTTGAAAGAAGTCTCACAAAGGCTGCATTTATTTAATCAGACAATACAGTAAAAAAAAAAAACAGCAATATTGTGAAAATAATAATTTTCTATTTTAATATTTTTAAATGCTTAATTTTCAGCAGCCATTACTCCAGTCTTCAGTGTCACATGATCCTTCAGAATTCATTCTAATATGCTGATTTGGTACTCAAGAAACATTTATTATCATCATCACCAATGTTGACAACACTACTAAGGCTAATGTTTTTGTGGAAATTCTGAAACATTTTTCAGAATTCTATGAGTATTTGAATGAGTGTATAGAACCAAATTTGTTATTAATAAACTTCATGATTCCAAACACTAGTTATGATGATAAACATTATTAGACACTTTATAAATAAATAAAAAGTGATAGTTATAAAGACCTCTTTACCATTTCAAGCAAGCAATGTCTCTTAACTTGCATTTGCAGCTTTCAGTGGAATAGCAGCTTGCCACAAAATCAACAGTCCTAAATGGGGAAAACAACACAGACTTGTTTATGTTTATAATAAGCATTAAACAAACAGAATATGGTTATCATGATTATCATATATATGTTCTGACAGGTTTATGTGATGTCTGATCGGGGAAGCCTTACCTATTTGGGGGTATGTCGGTTGAGAATAACTCTATTTCCGTATCAGCCAAAAGTACTGCTTTCATGCCCCTCATACACAGCAGACTGTCACAGTATACACAGTTGACTTGCGTCACACACTTATTCTTAAAATTTGAAGTAGACATCGTTGAGTTGAGATATTCTCAAGAAATGCTCCTAACCAAACGCAGGTCCTGTTGATTTAAAATGATAACAGATAGTCAGCACCTAAACTGAAGGCTACAGTAGATGTTTTAATAACAGTCTGACTGAGACGACCTGCACCTGTTTAGCCAGCTAGCTCTAGCCCGTTTTCCCTGTATCACCTTAGCATGATCTCCAAGTCAGTCTTTTGATCACAAAAACGGAAAAGCCCTTCAAATTAACATTACGGGTGAAAATCACATTGGTCATTTATCGCTTCTGTCAGAATACAGAGAAGCTGTACCTTTCTTGTTATTAGAGAGCTAACTTAGCTTGCTAACTAAAATATGAACTTGTTTTTTTAACAAGCATGCCATAAAACCATTCTTACCTGTTATCGGATATCAGATCGTTCTAGATCTAGGCGGCAGAGAAATACATTGTACTACTGTACAATCTCTCTGTCGTTACAACAGTGAATAGATTGTCAAGCAACGTTTGTTTACGTCCGCGTCAAAGCGGATATTCACTTCCTGAAACATTTTCAAACAGCCTGATTTCTAACGCTGATTGGTTCCAAATTACCATATCTAACAGATGATTGGTGAGCTTAAATTCCTTAGGTGATTGGTTGCAGTGCCTTGCCTTTCCGCAAACCACAAATCCACTAGTGAGGGGAAGTCCGACTCATTTCCGCAAATAAGTTCTTTCGAGCGAGTTGTTAAAGAATTGGTTCAAAAACGAGTCGGTGAATCTTTTATCATCACGTGGCTCCAATAAAGTCATATGTGGGCACATATTGCTGTTTATTACATTTATTTCGATTCAATCTTATTAAGGATGTTTATTGTGGTGTCACGTGTTCTAGTTCAGTTTGTTGCAGCAATGATTCAGCTCGACACAGAGTTATTTAAAACATTAAAAAAACAATATCCATTTAGATCTCTTGGCTAAAAAGCTTTTGCATGTTTCGATGTATTTAAACCAACTAGGCAAGAGAAGGTGATTCGTAAGAGATTCAGTCCATTGAGTCAGTGAGTTAAATTGATGATGCCTCGTTGTCTAGTCTTGCGAAATACCATGCGAAACGGCGAGGTACAATGAGTGAATAAGCTTCCATTGAGCTTGGAGTGAGGATACAAGTGCATTGAAAGACTTATTGAAGCATAATTATCATGTCCCTTTTAAGAAAACCATAAATGTCACTTTACTTAGTTTGCGTTGGTTGCTTAGCCAACTCGAATCGTTCATTTACGATGTTGTTCAGACCGGTTTTGTGAATCGAAGATTCATTGAAAAGATCCGACTCAGAAGATGGATTTGTTCACGAATCTGACATCGCTACAAATAGATAAATGTAAGAAAAAAATGTAAGAGGCATCGACAAAAATAAATTCTAATATATATTTTTTTACTATGAACACAAGGACGACATAGGCTAAATTAACGGAAATAAAATAAACCAACAGTAAAAAATAAGGCTTTAAATGTTCAGTTTGAGTGAACTTTTAAATTATTTCAGTCACTCAAACCTTTTTAATCAGTGGCATGTGATGGATTAATGAGATAAAACAATATTAATGCCGCAGAAATGTGTATTTTGGCAATCGGATAGGTTATATGTCGTATTCCTGTGTTGTAACCAATGACAATAGAGGGGGGTTGTCCTTTCGCTTCCATGAAAAGAGGCGTGGTTTGAGTTTGGGAAAATTCAGAGAATAGCGTAACAGTAAGTCTTAAGGGAGAAATTTGGTAAATGAAACTCGAATTAAGACATGGAAATCGCCTTTTAAGGTAAGTGGTTTAACTTATCAATTCAGCAGTATATGATGCGGGCGCTTCAGGCACGAGAAAACTCCGCAATTCTCCGGATGAAATGCAGGGATCTCCTTAAGGAAAGCCCAGAACTATTCAGAGTCACCAGGGGCCTCTCTGCTTTTCACATCACGTTAACGTTACTCCCTCTTGTTGCACATGGCCTCTTTCATTTTTTTAGGACTAATCATTTAAAGTCCTTTACACCCCTGTAGTCTTCACGATTGGCAGCCTATTAAGTATCGAATGACCTGAGCATGTTAAACTTTCAAAACGTCCAGTATAGTGGACAGATTGGTTTTAGGGTTTCCTATGACATCAGTAGGCTAGTGTTGTCAGGATTGGTCATTTGCATTGTCTTTGATCATGTTAGATATAAAATCCTTGAATGGCAGATGCATGTTAGAATGATTCTCCACACCAATGACACTGGGTGAAAAGTATGTTATGTGAATTATATTTGCACATTTATCTTTGGGGAATGTTACTGATGAAATGTGATAAAAAAAAATGCCAGGAAATTAATTTGCTGAGAGTTATTCACTTCTTACTCGTGCAAATTACAAATAATTATCACAAAAGACTGGGCTATTTTACATGCAAGAAGACACAATAAGTTGTTCTTTTTTTATCATGCAGGAAAATAAACAGTCATATATCAGAATAATATTTAATTATTAAGTTCACATTTAGCTATTTAATGCGTCAGTTTACATTTTTCATAATAGTTTGTTTGTAAATAGAGGAGCTTTGAGGAGGGCGTCTGTTTTTAAACAAATGAAACAAAGCGAAATTATTTTGAGGAAGTTTACTGGAAGGAACTAGTTTTAGAAATCTGATCCAGTGAACTTTTCTCTGCTCTGTGTGTACAGTGTGATGCTGGGAAATCTAATCCATGCCTTCATCCTGCTCTGAGAAGACTCTGTCGCCTCACTCACACGTCTGACCGCTGGAGGAAGAAGGCAAAAACTTTTGAAGGCGCTGCGTCAAGTCGCGCGGATCCAGTGGGATGAAACTCTTCTGTTTTGTGCTTCATTCCTCGCGTGCACATTCACGGACACATTCCACCTAGGAAGCCAACGGCAGCTTCAACTAATAATGCGGCGTGATTGATCATCGACAGGAGACAATACCCATCCACTGCTTTCCATTCCTACATACTCACTGGATATCTGTAGACGAAGTGCGGGCGACGAGGCTTTTGTTCTGCGGTGTTACTCGCTTTTGTGACAGGACTTATTCCGTTTATCTCAATATGACGTCTCCGGCTAAATTCCGAAAGGACAAGGAAATTATAGCCGAATATGAAACGCAAGTTAAAGGTAAGTGAAATGTCTCGCTATAATGTTCAGTCTTACACAGCTATACGTTACCATTGTGCTTCGAATGCTATTTGATAGGTTACATTTCATGTATGATCACAGTTGTCGCGAATGAGCACAATACGCAGTCGTATTACCGTAGAAATATGCTTTTTATTTGACTTTGAGAAACAATGCTAGCTTTTCTCCACATGTGGCAATGTGTCCAAACGGAATGATAGATGTGCGAGTCAGTCAGTCTGTCAGTCGTTCACTGCGTGTGAAGAGAAATTGTCTATAGATAGCTACTAACTCTAACATTTTTAACAGGGTTTTTACTATTCAAAGCGATGTTATGTTATTTATTTATGTGGCGTTTGTGCTGTTGTTCTGTATTGTTTTCCTCAGTCAGCTTGTGTAGGTTGTACGTATAGACAAGGCAGGGCGTTTTCTTTTGCCCTGCGTCTCTCATACGAGCTGGTGTGGAGCTGTTCAACATTGATTTTTTAAATATGTCAGGGTGGCTGTCATTGATGTTTTACAGTAGGTCAGTGACTAAGCAACACGTTTAAAAGCCGTTTTGAGTTTTATCGGACAGAAAACATTTGTGTCTTGGCAGCATTGAGCGTGAATGAAGCAAAGGTGTGATGCGTGGTGACAATTCGGTTATTATGGTTTATGGGCATGGCTGTATACTGTACTTCATTAATGTTAACGCTGTGGTGACAGTTTAAAGTGTTAGTTTGAAGGCAGAGGGAATGTTTTTTGTTTTTGATAAGTAATGTAGTATTTTGTAAATTAATTGTAACAATAAACCGCGCATATTTCTTCAGGTAGGCTACGCACAGGTACGCGTCGCGTGTTTTGTCTCAGGCGAGGGGTTCCGTTCCCATAGAAACAACTGTCTCATGAAGTAAAACGAAGCTGTTTTTAATTGAAAGACGAATTGAATGATTCACTTAATTAGTGAAGCTCCCTATCATGCTATTCACGCTGTTATGTGTGCCTGCTCTTTTGTGTATTGGCCCGGTTTGAATAGAGCAATTGAGCAGCCCTGCCTGTTGCTGCTGAGTGTGGGGAAAATCTCCTTTAATGAGAGTCAGTGAGTTTCTCATCTTTGAAAGTTTTATTCAAGTAGGTCATTGTGATATATTGCTAAACAGAACATGAGCCTGGTTAAGGGTGTCTAAATGCTAGTTTTGCATGTAAATTTAGGCTTTTATTCACAATGAAACATCAACTCACACATAAATGGAAGCTCAAGCATGTTCGCTTGACGTGCGAGAACCAATGAGGTTCATTCCATGAGAGGTTTGTTCTAGCACATCAAAGCAGGTTCATTGAGCTTCTGTTTGTTCGCTGATCGATGGATGGCTGAATCCGAAATCGTCCCCTATACCCTCAAATGGGGCGTTATTTGAGGGGACAGCCATTTGTAGTGGTGTCCGAAACCATAGTGGACGTTATTGAGTGCACTTATTCAATCCCACATTGCACTGCAATAACAAGTGAACAACCGATGTACGCTCAATGGGCTGTCCGAATTCGCTCACTCGTTTTCATTCAATCCTTCAAGTGAATAGTATTAGTGGACTAGTAGTAGGGAATAGTGAATGAGGGTTTAGGGGGCGATTTCGGATTCACCCTATGTTTTAGGGCTGCCCCCAATAGTCGACTAAACGTTAGTCAACGAGAAGAGGCTTAGACGGCCAAGATTTTATTAGTCGGTTAGTCACAGAAAAAAAAAATCCACAGGAAGTGAGTCCGTGAGGGACAGATCGTTAACAGCGGAACCTTGTGGAAATTACAGTATGTCGGGTAGGAAATCCAAACGTTCGCTCATCATCATCATCAATCTCAAATATGACTTATCATTTGAAACATGTAAGTAATAGCAAATTTACATGGCCACTCACTCTAGCGTTAACCTATATAAATGTGCGCTATTATTAGGCACATACGTGTTTGTGCAGAGTGTGGAAGCTAAAGTATAGGCTAACGAACTTACTGCATGACATGGCGGCATGATGACGTGCATTTTTTCAACTTAAAGGAGCTGTATGTAAGAAATGTATTTCAATTAAACTAGACATTAAGAAATCATGTACATTTCAAATACTTATATCACTGACAACAGTAGTCCGGCCAGGATATTGCAGCCCTCAACTGATGTTGATGTTGTCATGTTGTGTTTTGGTCTGATGCTCCACCCTCCACCTATCTACCAATCACGAAGTCAAGTAGTGTTGCGGCATCCGGGTTGCCAGCTCTGCTCTAGTTACCGAAGCTGCAGCTCGTCACGTTCCTGCTGGATCCTGCAGCCTATCTGGCAACCTCGAGTCAAGGAGGAGGGGGAGGGGATACACCACTCTACAGTAATTTGAAAGTGATTGCAGTACCAGTTTTGGCCACAATCTTACATACAGCTCCTTTAAAATACTCTGTCATTTTTGAGAGTAATACATCATTCCAAACTGTACTTTTATTTGTGTACACTCACAATAACGACAAAGCGTTGTGCTTTTGTAAAATAAAGAAAACAAGCCTTCTGCTGTCTCAAGCTCCCTGAAATGCACACTGTAAAAATTAAAACGAATGAATATGTTAAATCTAATAAATTAAAATGAGGCAACAGATTACAAGCAATATTATTAATTAAATTTAACAAATTAGAATTGAGTAATAATTAACCAAATTAATTCCTTAAAAGTTAATCATTTAAAATGAGTAAAATTTACACATTTTTTTTTAAACAAAAATATCGGAATAACAGACTGACGTCAAAGATGAATTAAGAACTCTTTTTTTTAATTACCAATATTGAAGACACCTGATGTTAACAAGCAGAATCACTGAAGGAGAAAAACGTATTTTTAAGTCACCATTATGGAGATCAGTGTGTGTTTTAGTTGGGCTCTTGACCATTAACTCATTAACTTTAGATTTTGTTTGGCTGCTGTACGTGAGTTATAACAGCCAGATGAACAAATAGAAAAGGTGATCTGATGGTGCAGGTTATGTTGTAACATAATCATTATTTCACAATCATTTGACCTGAATCACTGAACTCATATAGAGTCCAATTTAGGTTTACTTTATTAATTATAGCAGCACTGTCCTTAAACAGCATCATATTTTTAACTTTTTCAATGAAACCAAATGATCAAATCAATAAAAAGAAAACTTCACAAAATATTTTATATAGGCACACACAGAATTCAAGAATTAGCGTATGAATCTCAGCAATGGTGACACACAACAGATCACCTCTGAACATAAGCTCATTATTTATTCATGCAGCAATGCATGATGGGAGCCATGAATGAGTTTTGATTGGTGGCACCCAGAATGCACTGCAACATGCTTTATTATTGTCACCATTGTTGAGATTCATAGGTTGATTCTTGATGTCTGTGTGTCTAAAACCTAAATCGAAACAATTTTTTTTTTTTCTATTTGTGACACGTTTAATAAATACTTCGGATTATGTTGTAAAAGTTAAAATCATTATACTGTACAAGGACAGTGCTGCAATAATTAATAAAGTAAACCTAACTGGACTCTATATGAGTTCAGTGATTCAGGTCAAATGATTGTGAAATAATGATTATGTTATAACATAACCAACACCATCAAATCACCTTTTCTATTTATTCATCTTGCTGTTATAACTCACGTACAGCAGCCAAATAAAATCTAAAGTTAATGATTTAAGGGTCAAGAGCCCAACTAAAGCAAACACTGATCTCCATAATGGTGACTTAAAAATAAGTTTTTCTCCTTCAGTGATTCTGCTTGTTAACATCAGGTGTCTTCAATATTGGTAATTAAAAAAAAGAGTTCTTAATTCATCTTTGACGTCAGTCTGTTATTTCGATATTTTTGTTTTAAAAAAATGAGTACATTTTACTCATTTTAAATGGTTAACTTTTAAGGAATTATTCATTCGTTTTAATTTTTACAGTGCAGCGGGTCACATAAATGAACTGAAACTCAGCGTATAGGCTACTTACCTTACAGACATGAGAAATATATCTATAGAAAGCTTGAAATGTCTACTTTTAAACAAACCAATTCAAACCGTAATACGTATGAAAGGTGTATTTCTCTCTATAGACACACTCGCCCAGTGCTTTGCGGCAGGCTTTATGTGTGCTCTTGAGCGCGGAATAGACTTATCTGGCCCCAGTAATTAAATTAATATAAACGTGCGATTAGTCGACTAATGGCTTAAATGAACAACTAGTCGACTAAACAAATTTTTAGTGGGGGGCAGCCCTACAATATGTGAATAAAAGCCTAAATTCAATCTGTTCATCATATAAAGCGATCGAATCTCTTCAGAAAATTTGGACTAAAACCCCTTAATTCATATGGATTAGTTTTAGTTTTGCTTTATGAACTTTTTGAAGCATCAAAGTGGGTAGCAGATGAACTGCATTTTAAAGTTTCTTTCTCATCCTCAAGAAGCATTATGTCCAACACATTGATGTGTTCTCATGCAAGAAGAGAATGTGTTTCAGTTTATAAAATAAATGTGAATCTATAAACCTGATATTAATTTGGCACTATTGTTCCTCCTCCAGCTCCTCTCTCTGGATGCTGTGTCATATCACTTTCCCATGCCAATTTCAACCCCCAGCGTCCCCCACATGCAAATCCCTATTAGTTTACCATGCCTGTAGATCGTTTTGCTCAATAATCTTGAGCTGACAGGATCTGGAAAGAAACAATAATAAGAATGATATCTTCTCTCAGGAATTGCATGGGCTCGCGCTGAAAAATGGCCTAGATTTCGAAAGCAGCCATGCCTAGTGAAACATTGCTGATTTGGCAAAATAATCTGTCATGAATTAGTGGCAGAAAGAGGAAGCTGTAATTGCTTGGTGATCCATTTCTGTACTGAGACAACCAGAAATGAGGAGAAAATCGGAAACTGGATAAGTCAGATCAACAGAGAGACAGATCAAAACGGCATACAGTTCTAACTGGATTATCATTGATTAACATCAGCTTGATGC